CTCGTTCAATAGGCGTCTGGGGACATGCTCCCTCTAAAAGCTTCAGACGGAAAAGGGTTGGTCTTCAGCAAGACCCAGCTAGTTGGGGACAGGAGGGCTCCCCAGTGCCCTAGACGCCGCAGAGATGCTGACGTGCCTGCGGTCCCTGGCCATCGCTCCCAGCTCTACCTGCAGCTACTTGACAGCTTGCTCACTTCTGGCTGGGGCAAGATGCAAGCACCGTCCTGGTCCAGTTGCAACTCACCCTGGAAGCATGCTCAGGATGTCCTGGCTTACCAGGAAGTCCTCCTTGGGCACTGCACACATCGCCAGCCCTCCGTCACCCTCATTCCTTTTGTCTCTTGTGCCCACCACCTGCACAGCCCTACCGCAGCAGCCCGAATACCTGCCCTCCATCAGCGGGTGTCTTCTGATGAACTTTTAGAGTAGTCACAGCTCTGAGATCTAAGAAATCAGCTTCAAAGAATCTTGACCAGTAGAAAACCTCAGCCCCTATGAGAAGACCATCTCTTCTGTCTCCCTATCTTTGTGGGTTCACTAGGGCTCAGGTGCTGAAGAACCACAGTAGAAAGTGGTGACTTAGCCATCAGAAAGGTACTGTCTCCCAGTTCCAGTGACTAGAATTCCAAAACTAGATGTCTGCAGAGGGACGCTGAGGGCCACGGGGGAGGAGTGAGTCTCTCTGGCAGATAGACTGTTGTATCCACATTCACTTGATACTCCCCGGGGGGTGCAGCTGTCTCCTGGCCCTCCCTTTGTATGAGGACACCAGTCATCTAGACTAGGGCTCCCCCAGTGACCATTTTAACTTGATAACTTTGGTCACGTTCCTGTTTCTGGATAAGGTCACATTCTGAGGCACTGGGGTTAGGATTTCAGCATGTAGATTGGGGACAGGGGTGGACACAGTTCAACCCATATCACCAGCCCAGCCAGAAACATCATTCTCTGTTCTCTGTTCTCTTGTCTGCTTCGATTCACAACGTGGACACCTCTGGAATCTCGTACTGTACCCTGAAAAGTAAGCCAGAAATCAGGCCTCCGTTCCAGCGTGAACACTATTACCATCTAGCGCTTTGGCCTTAAATTGTCCTTTTACTTCGCTGCATCTCGGTTTGTAAAATCAAAATGGAGGAAATAATTCCTGCCTTGCCTACTTCAGAGCTGCTGTGAGCATCTAATAAGATAGTGAATATGACAGCAACATGAAAAAATAAGCACCCCACAAATGTGAAGTAATATCATTGTATCATTATTATTACTAGTAAGAATAAAGGGATCCTAACGATAGAAAAAGTCCCACCTTCACTCTGAAACTGGAGAAAACCCATTCCATTTATAAAGCCATCTCTTTTTATTCCTCCCTGGAGAAAATCTTACATTTCCTAGATTCCTGTTGCAATGAATTACAACTTTCATTCACTCTGCAGCCATCTTCACCTAACCTAATCCATGGTGCTACATCTAAGCCCACCTGAGTTCATTCTGACCTGAGTTGGGGAGAACTAATCACTCCCCAATATTTTTCAGTTGGCCCTTCCAGTCAATCAGCAGACTTTTCCTGGGTGCTTGTCACATCCAGGCAATAGGCTGCGGATATGGATTCAGGGTCATAACGGGTTCAGGACTAACTGAGCTGCTGTCATTGTAGAGACTAGGACATGTCGTGGTGTGGCCTCCCTTCTCCACCTGAAACACACTCGGTCCCAATAAATGTCTCCTTACCCAGCAGCATCTCTGACACCTTTGTTCTCCAGACGGTGCCCTCCATACCCCCCATGTTGGGTGAACTGGGGCTTCTTCCCTGTATGTCTGTTCATTTTCTGTGGACACCTTCAGAGCATTTCAGTGGCTCTGCTGTGGCTGTGCACTTAGCCACCGCCGCAGCCCCAAACTCTACATGGAAAGCCCCACAGCTGTTGCTGTTCCTAAATAGGCACCTGTGACCTCACGCCACCATCAACCCCAGAGCCGTGTGACACAGGAGGCAGCAGACGGGGGACTGGTCTAGCTTACAAAGCGAAAGTCTACTGTGCTTTCTGTCACAGCCCATCACCTCTCCCCTAATTGCCTGGTAGGCTAGCTTGATCATGTTTCCCAAAGCCAAGGCTTCCCCCTGGTTCTCTGTGATCAGCACTTTTGCCTACACCCCACCTGCTTCCCCCTGGTTCTCTGTGATCAGCACTTTTGCCTACACCCCACCTCCTCACCTGTGTTTCCAGGCTCTCCTGTCCACCCCAACATCCACCCCGCTGGCTTGCTTCCTCGTGTGGACCCCAATGACCTCTAAGTTAACCCTGCAAATCTCTCCCAAGGATGCCCCAGGTTTTCATGTATGGGTAGCTGGGTAATTCTCATGTCACTAATCCTCCAACCTTCTTCTTGCAGAGATCCCAGTGGCTGCTCCCTACTTCTCAGTAAAGACTCAGTCAGAGAGTACTCTCACTTAATAAATTTCTGCCGTGTGCTTATTAGCGCCTTGTAATGTAGCCGCCTAAATAATTAAGACTAACCCATACGTGTCAAATTAAATGAGCCAAATACATTGAGAAATTGCCTCGTCCTTCATTTCTTTTATTAATCAGGTTTTTTTAAACTTCTCTTCCTGTTCATTTGCAAAACTCAAACATGATCAGTAAGGTTCTTACTTACAACAAATGTTTGTACTCTGACCTCTTTCCGCAGGCAATTGCCCTGGGGGGCAACCTATTATGGTACATAGGATAGGTCGAGTTGGGGTGGCAGAGGCAGCCAGCATAGACCATCCACATTCAACAGGTTGTCCAGTCTCTAAATCTTTACAGTGGTGGCCAGATTGTTTAAGGGACAGTCTGGGAAGATCGACAGGCCTAAATTCACCCAGCATCTTCGGCCGCCGCCCTTCTCAATGCTCCCTAGTGCTCACTCCTGGATTCAATCTAGGAACCCATGTCCCTTTTTCACTAGAAGCCACCCCTGATGTGCTTTAGATGGGATAAGAAGTCAATGGAAAATATAATAGGAGTCGTAGCAATTGTATCATTCTAATGAACAATACATGGCCAACAATAATGGGCTGGTTAACTCTCTCTGTCGTCAGCGTGTTGAGGCTTCAATATAGTCTCAGGCAAGAGGCTATTGTTTGCTGGCGCTCAGCGCCTCCTCACAGCTTGTACTTCCGCCGGCCCCCTCCTGGCATGCTGCATTCTTGCCTCTTGAAGGTGGTTGTTAGAAAGAATCCACAAATATAGTAAGTAAACATCAAAGGGGCTTTGATCTGCACGGCCCTCGACAGAGCAGGAGCCCCTGAAGAAAGGGCCAAGGCCTTGGATGAGGGAACTTAACATCATCAATTTGGGCGCTTGAGATGTAAGGCTGTTTGAAGTGAGGGCGGTTTGGCTGTGTCTTCAGACGAGCGAGCGTGAAGGGAGAGGAAGAGAAGTGAGTGCCTTTGGAAAAAGCCAGCTCAGATCCGCTTCTCTGCTCTTCACTGATAGTCAATAAGCCCCTTTAAAGAATCAGGAGATCAAAGCTAGCGACCCCCCTGTGCCATGGCATTTTGCCACCGCCTGCCACACTTTGTTTTTCTCTCAGGCAAAAGCCCCCAAGCTTGACTTATCTGTCTCTCATGGGCCCTTTCATCCCGCTACCCATGGAGGGTGGATCTGGGCAACCAGAGGTGCATGAGAGGCAGGAAGGAGACTGAGCCACCCTATGTACATGCCAACAGCCTAGAGGCTGACTGAGTGGGCTCAGAGGAACACAGCACTGTGGGAGAAGTTGCTGTGACTTGGGGGAACCCTCTGTCTCCGAGACACTGATGGAGGGGACCCCTGGGTGCCCAGAAAGCCTAGCAAGACCTGGGAGAAGGTGCATTCACATCCCCTCTCCCAGAAATCAGACCCTTGTCCATTTACCCCATGGCAGCTGTCACATCTGTGTGGCTTCTCAACAAAGACATCAGAGTGGAGACTCTAAAGTCATTATGGGAAGTCATCAAACATCTTTGAACTTCAATTTTCTCATCTGCATAATGTGAATAGCAATAACCTATCTGCCTACCTTATGGGGTTATTGTGAGGCTCGAAAGGGAAAGTTGGTGTGAAACGCTACTTCAGAACCCATAATGTACATAAGACAAATCAGGATTAAAGGATACAGACCAGCTTGCATTCTCGTGAAGCAGATGTACTCCAATTCAATGCTCACACACAATGGCATTGACGTACAAAATACTGTGCAAGAGAAATAAAATGTCTCGTGCATTTGCTACCTAGTATTGTTGTCCTATCTTGTTTTTCTAGTTGGGTGCAAGTCTTGTGGGACCAGAGTGTATGCCTGGTGTTTATTAACCATGCTATGTATTCCCTGTGGTCTACACTGAGTCTACATCTCATAAATGTTTGTTGAGTGCCAAGTGTCCCTGAATATAAGATTGCATAGGAATCTGCAGCTCCAGAAACTCACTCTCTCTTGAAAGGCTGACTCTAGCTCAACCCCTGTCTCTGCCCCTACATTCACTCCATCACTTCTTCACCCCTCTGACTCATCTACTGTGTCTGGTACATCTCCATGCTGGACCCTACTGGCTGGACTCTGCTTCTTTTCTGCTTCCACAATTCCAGTGTGACCTGGACATCATCCCTGAGCCTGGGATATATAAGTCCTCATTGACCAATAGAGTAATGATTGGAGCATGGACTCTGGAGTCAAACTGCTTAGGTTCAATTCCTGTCTCTACCACCTACTAATTCTTTCATCTAAGATTACTCACTTAATACAGCTTTAATGGGGATATTATAAAATGGTTGTAACAATAGTGTGTACCTCACAGAGTTGTTGTGGGACTCAAACAAGGAATTACTGGCTTAAAATCATGACTGTGCCACAGTGAGTTCTCTGTACATATCTGTTAAATAAATAAGTAACCTGTTTTTAAGGGCAGTGAACATTGCATTCCTTGCAGAGGGGCCTTCATTGATGTCGGGCCCATTTCTAACCCAACTCTGCTTTTCTTCCAGAGCTGGGCCTCCAGAAGAGAGGATGCTGTCTGGTGCTGGGCTACATGGCCAAGGACAAGTTTCGGAGGATGAATGAAGGTCAGTGACAATGTCCCCATGCCCTGGGGGGGTAATGTGGAAAGGAAACTATCCACTACAACTACAATCGCAGGAAAGAGGACCTGCAACCACTCAGAAAACCAGCGGGCAGATAAGTTGGATCTCCTTGAAGCCATTGATACAGTGATGCAGAAGAGAACTAGTGCTTGAAACACAGTGTGCTGATTTATGCGCGGTTTTCCTCATGCCTCTTCCTTCCTCCTTTGTGGCCCTACCCTCCTTTTCTCTTCTCTGCCTTTTGTTCCCCACCCACCCAGCACAATTAAATCTGCTTCAATTATCTTTTCTAATCCAGACCTCAATCATTCACATTTCTTGAATGCCTGTTGAATAAACAACACCTTATGGGGCACTTAGGAGAATACTAAAGAAGAATGAGTCACAGAGCTTTCATTCTCAAAGAACTTATACTTGAAACCTCTGCTTTTTTCCCAGTTCCATTGGCCCTACTTCTCCCCCTTACTCATGGGCTGTTCTGCCTCTTGCTTGGCCTCTCCTCTGAGGTTTGACTGGGTTACAGAAGGCTTGGGAAAGGTATTGACATTGACATGGGGGCTAGGAGGTACAAGGAATGCTGCCACTTATGGGTCTGCCGTAATAAAGAAGCAATCCCCTCATCCCCAGCCATCTGTCTCCATGCAGCTAATAACCCTCTCCATCAGATGCCACAGACTGTTTGTCAGGATTCAAAAGTAGATAAACAATGGCTAGAGATGCCATTTATTCATTAAGTCAGACGAATGAAGCCCTGGCTCCCCACCAGCCCAGCTTGCTATGAGCTGGGCCCCTCCTCTCCCCAGGCCCCAGACCTCTATGACCTCATTCCCATTCCAGGCATGGATGAGAAAACTCACCTATAACACACCTATCCCCAGAATTAGACCATAACATAGCTCCAGTGCCCTCTTCCTATGTGCCTCAGCTGGCTCTCTCCCAACTAACAATCCATGACACATACCTCATGTGATTCCCCAGACTTAATATTAATGCCTTGCCAGCTGTAGGTTTGTCGCCAGCACCCATCACAGTGACAGCTTGACAAGAATTAGGCCAGGACGATTATACACAACGAGTGATCGCCTCCCCTGAATCTGCTGCTTGTGTGTATAAGAATGCAACAGCATTAAGGAGCTACTTCCCATTTGTAGAAGCACCATGGCTGAGCACAGTCAGGTCAGGGACTGCATCTTCCGAATCCTGACAGGCATTCTCCCTCCCTGGCTTTTTTCCTTTTCAGCCTAACCCCTCCATTCCCAATACCACCTTCATGAGAGTGCCAGGTGGTAACTTCTAATTTGTGGGCACTGACGGTGTGCCTCTGTCCGTGGTGCTGAATAGATGTGTTTTCTTGCTGACAATGCTCATTAAAGAAGCTGAAAAGAGTTCTATAGAAATTGGGGGAGCCAAAAAGTCAGAAGCTGGCTACATTTGAAACCTCAAAATCCAAGTATCTGAACCCTGTAGAAAGATACTCACTGAAGATCCTGGGGCCTAAAAAATTGAATCATATCATGAGTCTGGTGAACTTGATTTGACTCCTCCACATTTCACAAGTTATTAAGGGAGGAGTACACCATTCAGCTAAGGCTTTCATGACAAAATACTATAGACTCAAACAACAGAATTCTACAGACTTAAACAACAGAATACTATGCACTTAAACAACAGAATGCTATAGACTTAAACAACAGAAGCTTATTTTCTCACAGTGCTGGAACCTGGAAGTCCAAGGTCAGGGTGCCAGAGTGGTCAGGTTCTAATAAGATTTCTCTTCCTAGTTTTTAGTTGGCCACCTTCTCAGTGTGTCCTCACATGGAAGCAAGATATGTCTTTTTTATAAGGACATCAGCTATATTGTCTAAGGGACATACGCTTATGACCTTATTCAACCTAATTACTTCTATATAGACCCTATCTCTAAATGCAGCCTCTTCGGAATTAGGTCTTTAACATTGGGGGAGGGGGATACATTTCAGTCCATGGCAAAGAGTCTGAATTTATGTGCCTTAGCAGAAGGTTATAATGTTAATACTCTGAAGTAGGCATTAAGAAGATGGTAATAAAAAAAAAAGTCAGCATTAGGTAGAGGCAATCCTTAAATATTGTTTAAGTACAGAAGACAGGAAGGGGAATCTGGGGAGGCTGAGAAGCAAGACCAGGACCAGATTACCTCTGAGAGCAGTTAGCATTACTTTTTGCAACAACTGAATACAACAGCACTCTAAATAGTTGTTTTGTTTTTAAAATGGGAAGGTGTCAGAAACAAAGCCTAGTCTCTCTGAGTCCCCTCTGCATACACATACAATCCGTGCAGATGAGTTGTGCCTTATAGCTATTTGTGGCTGCCATGGTTAAGAATGAGAGATCCGAGTCCTCCCTGGTGGTGCAGCGGGTTAAAGCGCAGCACTGAGAATCTGAAGCCACTTCCACATGAGTTCGATTCCCGCCTGCCCCGGAGGAGACCACATGGCGAGCCAGACCTCTCCTGACCCGCCCGCTGCTCCCCTCAGCAGTGTACTTCGTCGATCTGCCTATTCTGCTCCCCACTCTGTCTCTGGTGAAGCCTCTCACCGCCCCTGAGCCTCTGGCCTGTACCCCAGTTCTGTATGCACAAATAAATAAATAAATCTTTAAAAAAAAAAAAAAGAATGAGAGATCCCAGGTACACCCCAACCTACACCCTCCCCCTAGTGGCGACTAATTGAGATTCAATCAAGATATTCAGAAAGAGGGAGGCAGCAGAGACCTCAACAATGGCCAAGGGATAGCAGAGCATCTCGCCCCGGCCGAGATGTCTCCCTACATATTGCTCATCTGCCTCCCAGTACCCCCAACACACACATTCATGTAGACTCGCACATAACCACACTCATAGTAACTACTGGTGATCGTGGAGACAAAGGAGTGGAAAGCAAGCTAAACCACCATGTGTGATTGTCGCTGGGTGGTCCCTAGGGGAATGGCTTGAAGTTTCAGGTTCCCAAAAAGGGAAGAAAAGAAATCAGAAGAAGAAGGCAGCAGGATGGAGAGCCAGAAGGAGACCCAAGGAAGCCACATGGAGCAACAAGCATGTGATGTCCCTTTTGGGTTGACTTTTGCCCACGAGGGGATGGGTAACTTTAGGTGTTTAATTTAGAAAATATATTCTTGGTCTTCTGTGTTGTAGACTCACTGTATTAAAGTCCCTTTTCATTAAAGTCTTATCTGTTCTGCCTTGATGTAGCCAATGGCAGACCTATTTGTATCAGGCAGGTTTGGGGGTTCTGTGGTGCCCCCTCTCCTTGCTCTGTAACATGATGAGTTACAAATCTCAGTTTAGAAGGAGACAAGAGAGTAAAGGGGTGAAGCAGTAAGGAGAGATGTATGAGGTGAGTTAGCTTTGGCTCTGGAGGGGAGGAAGGCATGAGGAGGAGGAAAAGGGAGCTGGAAGTTACAGTAAAGGGGCTCTTCTGTCCCTAGCTGAGCCAGCTTTGCACCCCAAGTGCCACATGATGCATCTGTTCTGTAAAGCTCACGTGCTGAAACTCCAACATGTCTGCAGTTAAGAAAAGGCATCAGCAAGCATGGGGAGCTGTTTTATGGTTTATAATTATCTTGTACCAATACTCAAAATAATTATAACTTCCACATATTAATAATTGAACTGGAATAGAAGCCATGACATAGATCAAAGAACAGAAATCTCTGTCCATGCTGCACTATACACCTGGGTATAAATTGAACAGTTGTTGAAAGAGTAAAAATATTATTATTTTTCACCCAGATGCTGGCATTAGTGAGATATTGGAGCAATTAGTTGTTTTTCCATTAAAGATAAGGTGGTGATCATTATATTTTCAATTTAGAATAAGTATAAAAGGCCTGCTTGTGCTGTATTAAAGCATATTTGTTCTGTTTAGCAATATCTAATAGGGGTCTGTCACCTGGAGAGAAGTGATCCCCTATTTCATTTGTTTCCTTGTTAATTTGGTATCATTTTTGTTCTCTTCTTTCTCTACTCCTCCCTTCATGCTACATACCAAAAGAAAAAAAAAACAGCTTGAAAAGGAGCAAGAGAAAAATAATGAATGAACAGGAGTTTTATAGATCTGGGGTTTATCATAAGCTAGAGTAATCGCAATTGGTGCTCTTAAACTACACAAAGCAATAAAAAGAAAACACTATTCAAAGATCATTTAAGGAGACATGTGATAGTCAATGAGAGGTTTGCTCTATTTGGGAGCGTTTAATAGCTTCTTGGGTAGAATCTGAAGCACTTGCAAGAATGGAGGTGGTTGGTAATGTTTCTGTGTGTGTGTGTGTGTGTGTGTGTGTCTGTCCTTTCCTGTTTGGATTGCACACATCTGAGGCATCAAATGGAGATGTGAACAAAAATCAAGTGGAGACAAGAAAGGAAGCAAACTGAGACAAACCAAGAATAAGAATATCATCAAAATATCAGATCTGTTTGACATAATTGTCTTCATGTGATTAACTAGTGGTGCTTTAAATAGGAACTGCTTGAAGGAAATCATTTATTTATTCAACAAACATTCATTGAGTACCTACCATAAAAATAATACCATTTTTTTATAATGCCAAGCATTTTTCTAAATATGGGAGCTATAAAAGTAAACAAGACATAGTTCCTGCCCTCAAGCAGCTACCAATGAAAACACACAAGTACATTTTGATACTGTCACTTCCACCCAGAGACTCTACCTAAATGAGAGTAACTCTTCCCCACTATTGTGCCCCACTATGACAACCAGCCTGTTTATTTTGTGGCACTAAACCTAATCAGGTGATTATTTATTAGACTATTTGCCCCATTGAATAATTGTTAGCTTCAGGGAGGCTCTCCTCCTCTCCTGCTTGGGCCTTCTCACACATAAGAGGTGATCAGTCCATTTTAACTTAAATACAGGCATACCTCCACAATATTACAGACTCAGTTCAGAGCTCGTAATAAAATTAATGCCACAATAAAGCAGGTCACA